TCGCACATCCCTGACTCAACCAAACGCATCTCGTGCAGCCGTTTGTTAAAGGAGCCATGTCCTGTTAAAATTTGGGATGTCGGGTAGTCGGGGACGATCCAGGTTGCCCTGAGTCGACCTACAACCTCCGGAAAGAACCGACGGAGATCCTCTCCTCGTGTTTCCGACTGCCAGCGCTCCTCCCACATCTTTACCACCTCCGACCTAATAGCTCTCTTATGCCTGCTCGACTCTGGCCTCGGCATATCGCGACACTCAGCTTCGCTCCGCCTGGCTCGGATCACTTTGAGATCGGCCGGAAGCACACCCGCCAAAACCGCTAACGCCTGCGTACTAACCGAACGGTAGGCCTTCGTCAGTAGCACCAGCGGCCCCCGTTGTGCCCGAAGCAGGACGGAGCGAACTACATACATTCTCGCTCTCTCCCACCAGCACGCCGCTGCATACGTCACCGTCGACACAAACGTTCCCGTGTACAATACCCGAAGCGCCGGATATCTTAGTCCCCAAGACGAAGCTGACACACGAGACATTTTGCCAAAGCATTTCGCTGCCCTGCCACCGATCTGTTTGGCGTGTTCGGTGAACGAAAGGTTCGAATCAATGCAAACACGCAAGATAGTCGCCGCCATCACAGAACCTATTGGCAATCCTGCCATTCTAATTGCTGGAGCCCGCTGAAACTTGCCCTTCAAGGTTAGGGACTTGGAATTTTGGGGTGCGAATTCGAGCCGGTTTCTAATTCCCCAGTCGGCTATTCTCATTAGTGTTGCCGATGCGACACTCTCAATCCTGGCACGTGAGTCGGCCTCAATGAGCACCGTGACGTCATCGGCGTATGCAACAAGCGTAACTCCCTCCTCCATGGGAAGCTCGAATAGATCATCCATTAGTATATTCCATAGAGTAGGTCCCAGAACCGAACCCTGAGGGCACCCCATAGTAGACATCTTCCAACTGGTTAATCCACCTAGGAAGAGGCCGACCCGTCTCCCTACAAAGTAGCTTGATAGCATCCTATAGATGTTTGAAGGACAGCCGCCTTTCTTAACCTTTAAAAGGATCATCGGCCACCATGCGTTATCGAACGCGCCGGAAATGTCCAGACATAGCGCCTGCACATATTTACGCTCCGAATTCTTGGCCACGTCCAGAACCGACCGCAACGCCGTAACCGTCGAACGACCAGCGCGAAACCCGTGCTGGCACCCCGAGGTGATAGAAAACATCCCGGGGACAGAGCCAAGCATCACGCGCTCAAGCAACTTGCCAAGGACCGAGAGGAGCGTGATCGGGCGATAGGCCTTCGGATCGGAAAGTGGCTTACCATTATTCTTGGGCAGTATCACTAACCTGCCCTCCTTCCAGACCTCCGGAAATACTCCTTCGACCACACACCTTGCGTACACTATATAGAACTCCGCTGCAGCAGCGGCCCACACTTCCTTCAACATACGGGCTGTCACCCCATCGATTCCCGGAGATGTGTTGGGGAGTTTCCTGATAATACCTCCCATCGCGTCGCGAGAAGGGGGGGCGCATCTCGGCCACCCGGGATAATAGCAGCGGCGAGACGGACCCGCCTATGGTACGCGCCGTCCCTGGACATATCGTCGTCAGGACAGAGCGCCGCCAGCAGCTCCCTCACCGCAACTTCCACACTCTCCGCGTGGCCCTCAGCATATCTAATGCCGTTGATAACATTGGGAGGCGGATGGATTCTGCCGTTGGCAACCCGGTAGGCCTGACCCCAGAGGTCGGTGTTGCCACTCTCGGCCACGCGTAAGAAGTGACCGCTCTGCGCCTCCTCCATCATTGCCCTGTATTTGCGACGAGCTGCACGAAACGCGCTACCAGCCATAACTTCACGTTGCCCGCCAAGCCTTTTGGTCCTCTGCCATACAGATCTCAGTCGGAAAGTTTCCTAGCGCGTCATTTCAAGCTTCACGTTCCACCATTCGTAGCCACTATCTTTCCTCGATTTCCTAACGCCCAGTGAGTCATGCGTCGTTCTAACAATAGCGTTCGTAAAGTCTTCCGCGAGCTGAGAAGGTGGCCTATGCACATTCAACGATCCCATCCTTAAGCTGATGCCCGCACGGAATCCGGCCCAGCATACCCCCCGCTCCCTAAATCTAATGAGAGTACTGCTAGTCACCTCGTTGCCCTGCTCCGGTCGCGAATCTCCCACCAGGAAGGTTATGAGGCGATGGTCACTGCTTGATGCCTCCGGGTGAACACACCATTCCTGCACTTTACCACTCCTGGTGGTTATGGTAACATCGATGTTTGAGCTACCGTTGGGGCCAGCGAAGGTAGACGGTTGGCCTGCCTCAATCCACACCAGGAGACCATGAGCACCGATCATGTCCTCAATTCTTGACCTCCGCATCTCCACCTCCTGCCCTCTGCCAGTATAATGGCGTGGGTGACTATGCCACAGAGGTGAGTGGGCGTTTATGGACAACCCACCACCTCCCATGGCCCCACCAACCTCGCGGTTATATGGGCCGAATCGCGGGAGGGTGCGCGCGGTCTGGCCGCGAGGCTCCGCGCGCACCTTCTTGACTCCCTACAAATTATTTAGTCACATCCTTGTCCCTTGAAGCAACTCTCCCCCCTTGGGGGCTTGACGCCACAGAAATGAAAGACTCGCTGCAGGACGCCGAGCGGTCCCTGATGGTTCGCCGCCGATGCCAAGAGTAGGCGAACTTTCGTAGTTCGCCGAAGTTTTCCTCCGAGGAGACGAGATCGCCGTAGTACGCCGGACCGAGACCCGGGCAGGTAACACCATTCAACAGACTATTACGCAGATCCTCGTACAGCGGACATGTCCAAAGCACATGATGCCTGTCCTCCTCACCCATTCCACATTCAGACATGCCGTCCTCGCATAGACCCATATCGTGCAGCTTTTTGCGGAAACAGCCGTGACCGGTTAGTATTTGCGACACCACGTAGTCGGGGGCAACCCATACGGCCCTGAGTCGCTGACACACCTCCGGAAAGAATTGACGGAGTTCCCTACCTCGAAGCTCCATCTTCCATCTCTCTTCCCATTCCTTCACCGTCTCCATCCCAATGGCACGCTTACGCCTGCTCGACTCCAACCTCGGCAGGGCGGAGCATTCGCACTCACATCTACCAGCACGGATAACCTCAAGGTCTGCCGGTAACATTCCCGCAAGAACCGCCAAGGCAGGGGTGCTCACCGTCCTGTACGCCTTTGTAAGGAGGATTAAGGAACCTCTCTGGGCCGTAAGGAGGGACGAGCGGACCACATGTAGTCTTGCCCGCTCCCACCAACATGCCGCTGCATAAGTAACTGTGGCGACAAAAGTACACGTGTACAAGGTGCGAAGCGCAGGGAATCTCAGTCCCAATGTCGAAGCTGAAACACGCGACACTTTACCAAAGCACTTTGCGGCCCTACTCGCAATTGACTTAGCGTGCTCGTTAAATAATAACGCCGAGTCGATGCATACGCAGAGTACAGTCGAAGACGACACCGCTCCAATCGAGGCTCCTTCAATTTTAATCACGGGAGGCCGCTGGAATCTACCCCTCAATGTCACAATGTGTGAGAAGACCTGAGGTGCACAAGCAAGCATTACCCTTTCTAAGACCTTACCGAAGGTTGGCAGGAGCGTAATCGGGCGGTACGCCTTAGGGTCTGAGAGCGGCTTTCCATTATTTTTGGGCAAGATTATCAGTCTGCCCTCCTTCCATACTTCCGGAAACACTCCCTCTTCCATGCACCTTGCATATACTAAATGTAGCTCTGCCGCAGCGACTGCCCATACATGCCTAACCATTCGCGCGGTCACCCCGTCGATTCCCGGGGACGTGTTTGGGAGCGCCTTGATTATCAGGCCCAGAGCATCGCGCGAGATGGGAGGAGCGTCGCTGCCACACGGGATTAAGGAGGCAGCGATACGAACGCACCGGTGGTAGGCACTGTCCCGTGAAGGATTATCATCCGGACATAGTGCCGCCGTCGCCACCTCCTCCACAGTTCCTACGTGTCCCTCGATGTATTTGGTGGCGTTAATGATATTGGCAGGGGGATGTATTCTGCCGCTGGCAACCCTGTAAGCCTGACCCCATAAAAAAAAATAAAAAAATAAAAATATCTTTATTCACGTTCTTATGCGCGTTCTTATGAAACGTCAAAATTTTACAAGAAATTAACACGTTCGTAAGTTACCACCGGTTCGGAAAGCAGTTTCTGTTGAGAAGAAACCGGCAAGAAACTCAACAGTTGCTCTTTTTAAAAAAATCAGTTTACAATATAATAGTACATGTACAATAGTCTTGTTTTAGCCTACGTGAGTATCAACAGTATTAACCCCACACATTGGCGTCGTCAAGATATTCGGCAATAGAATAATAGGCTTTAGCCATAAGTTTACTTTTAATTTTTCGTTTAAATTCATCAAGTGGCAGACTTAATATCGACTGTGGGATTTTATTATACATGCGCACACCTTGCCCCATGAACGACCTGTTTACTTTTTGTAAACGAAACAATGGCGTAGTTAGTTTGTCCTTATTTCTAGTATTTAGTTTATGTCTGTCACTATTCTTTAGATAACTATTAATATTATTTTTAACATACAAAATATTACAATAAATATATTGAGACGCAACAGTGAGTATATTAATCTCTTTAAAAAGGTCTCTGAGTGTATTCGGGCTCCGAAGTTATAGATTGCTCGGACAGCTCTTTTTTGAAGAATAAATATAGAATTTATATCAGATGCACTACCCCACAACAAAATGCCGTAAGACAAGATGCTGTGGAAATAACTGAAATAAACAAGTCTGGCAGTGTCGATGTCTGATAGCTGCCTAACCTTCCTAATTGCAAAAACAGCGGAGCTTAACCTGTTCGCAAGAGATGATAGATGGGGACTCCATTGGAGCTTTGAATCCACTGTAATTCCCAAGAATACAGCGGACTCAACAGGATTAAGGGTTACGCTATTTAATGTTAGGCTAAAACTTCGCCTTCTTACGCTGGGAAGGGTAAAAAGAAGGCATTTAGTTTTTTTAGCATTTAACACCATATTATTAACGGTAAACCAGTGGAGGATACGCGAAAGTGCACTATTCACGTCGTCATAATCCGACACGTTTCGGTCAACCTTAAAAATTAGCGATGTGTCGTCAGCAAACAGTACAACATCACATAACTCACTGGCATAAAAGGGGAGATCATTTATATACACTAAGAATAATAATGGACCCAAGATTGATCCTTGTGGGACACCCATTTTCATAGGTCAGTGTTGCCGCTTTCAGCCACCTGTCTGAAGTGGTTGCTCTGCTCCACGCCCATCAGATTGCGGTATTCGCGGCTCGCCGCACGATACGAGTCCCCTGCAATAATTTCTTTCGATCCGCCTATCCTTTTGGACTTCTGCCAGACAGTCCTAAGTTTAAGGGTTCGCTTCCGTGCCGTCTCGAGCTTACTATTCCACCGTTCGTAGCCAGCATCCCTCCTTGGCTTCCTGACACCCAAGCATTCATGAGCCGTTCTTACGACAATGTCCGTCAAATCTTTCGCTAAAAGGGACGCCGGTTTGCATTCAGATACCCCAGTCTTGAGGTAATCCCCGCCCGGAAACCCCCCCAGCGCACACCGCTCTCCCGAAACCTAGGTGGCTTGCACCAAGTGCTATGCTCCACAGTGGTGTCCCGATGCGAGGGGTCGGTGACCGACCAAGTTATAAGTCGATGGTCGCTGTCTGACGCTCCTGGGTGGACGCACCAGTCTGACAGCTCTGTGTTCCTGGTGGACATGGTTACGTCTATGTTGGACTCCCCGCTCGGTCCACTGAATGTCGGGTGCTGTCCATCAACATTCCACACTTTGAGGCCTCTAGCATTGATGAAGTCTTCCACCATTCTTCTCCTTCTATCAGCTTCCTGCCCCCGCCCGGAAAGATGTCTGGTGTGGCTGTGCCACATTGGTGAGTGAGCGTTCACGTCAACACCTATAACTACTCGGCGCCCAGCACTTTGGTCCAAAACTCTATCCAGCTGGGCGATGTGGGGAGCGACGTCCTCCGAGTATTGGAAGTATGACGACACCAAGATAAGGTCCACAGATTTAGACCTCCGAACCGACGCCACTACACAGTGGCTGGTGGACAGGTCATGGGCTACCGCTACGCCAGTGAGTCTGTTGTGCACGTAGATGGCAGCCTTGGGTTGTTCGCCCGTCTGTATAACATGGAGCCCCGCAGCCGCCGGAGAGTACTGTTCCTGGATCAGCACGAGGTCCAGGTTCAGCTCGCGGGCGATGTGCGGTAGCTCCAGGGTAGCCACTTCAGAACCTCCCAGGTTGAGTTGGCCAATTCTCAGCTCGCGATTAGGCGCCATAGTTAGTCATCGAGACGGCCCTCATTTCCGCGTACATCCTGGCGGGACAGTCGCGTGACGCGGTATTGTGCGTGTCCGACGGCTTTCCGAAGCGGTGGCAGGTAGCGCATCGGGACTGGCTTGATGGGCATTCCGGTTTCCGGTGCCCGGTCGCTCCACACTTCCCGCACACCACGTCCTTTGACCGGCAGTACTTCTCCGGGTGGCCAAATTGTTGGCATTTGTTGCAGCACGTCGCCGTAATGTGGTCACACGCTTCGATTGCCTGCCCCCAACATATATGCGCCCTTTTTGTAGCAGCGCCTGCCGCAGAGCCCCCGGCTCATTCCATTATTGCGGTAGTGGTTCCCCTGTACCCGCGCCTTTTGTATATTTTGCAGTCTTTACCCAGTTTCTCTGGTGACCACGACGTTCCTTTAAAATTCTGCTCATATATTGCCGCAATGATTTCATTAGGCTCCGGGTCTCCGTCCAGGTTCCTCAGTGCAACCTGGGGGGGCCTTGCTTTGGGAACCGCGGTCCGTAACGTGGGTGGTGCCGCACACATTAACTTTTCCGCGGCCTCAATGCTCGTGGTCTGGACCACAACTCCGGCATTGCCAACTTTCCTCATCCTTTCCACTTGTATCTCTATGACCTCCGGCCTGACCTTATTTTTTAGTTCGGCCTTTGTGTCCTCCGCCGTCTTTAGTTTGTCGGCCTGCTCGTCCACCGGGTAGAAAGCCACCACCGGTCCACCTTGAGTGATGGGGGTAGGGCCAGCCCTGCCCGCAATTTTTAGGGCAGAGGCGTAGGTTATTGGCTCCAAAGCTTTGGACGTGGTGTAGTGCCCTCGTAACGCCAGGTTCTCGGTCTTGGCCGACTTCACCTTTTCTTCGGCCAAGTTTAATTCCGCGTCGCTGAGCCTTATATTGGCCACCGAAAGGGGGTGTGTAAGGCCAGCTCTTCCGGGTGCGCTACCTGCCACCACTTTGGGAAACCAGCTGACGAGCATGTGACTGCCTCACGTGCCCTGCGCGAGTGTACGCGGAACGGAGGGCCGTCAACATGACTAATTATGGCGGTATATAAAACACTACGTGTTGGGCAACTAAACCTGGGCGGGTCGGAGCTCGCCACTCGGGAGCTTCCTACCATTGTCCGTGAGCTACGCCTCGACGTCGGACTAACCCAGGGGCACCGTGTATGCTGGAGTTTGGCGACAACCCTAAGGCGGGTATCTACATCGCCAACTCTAGAGTGGGTGCCCTGCATATTGCACGCCTCTGCACTAAACACTGTGTGGCAGCGTCGCTGCATGTAGCGGAGGGTGCGGAGATTTTACTTGTCTCGGCGTACTTTCAGTACGCTGAGCCCATTGAGCCACACATTCTGGAGGTCGACAGGGTGCTGGACCATCTACAAGGAAAGAGTGCCGTTATTGGTGTGGATGCGAACGCACACTCGCCTATATGGTTCAGTCACCAGCGTCATTACACTGGGAGGGGCCAAGACGCTGTGAACATAAGAACCCAGACTGAAGACTTCATAAATGGCAGGGGTCTCATCATTGGGAATCGCGAGGGGCAGCCATATACGTTCAGTGGCCCCAACGGCGATTCCAATATAGACCTGACTCTGACGACCAGAGGAGCCGTTGTTTCGGACTGGAAAGTCCACAGTGACATCTCCCAGTAACGACCATTGACTTCTGACGTACTGCATAGCTGAGCGGCATCCTCAAGGGAGGGGAACCGCTAGTACCACTGCGGACCTGCCTGGGTTTCGGGAGCGTGGGGCATGCTGGGCAGGTTTCCGTGCGGGGATCAGTTCACGGATGGGATATCTGAATATGAATAAGCCGCCATCCCAATTTGCGAAAGACTTTACGAATATTATCATTAGAACGACAGTCTGGGCACCAGGAATTCAAGAAGGGATGGCGGCTGTGAATGGTGGAACGAGAAATTGGAAGCGGCACGCATGGAAACGTTCAGACTGAGATCAGCATGGCAGAAGTACAAAAGGCTAGGCGGGCAGCGTGAGGTTATGGCAGACAAAGCTTTTCGTGCGGCCCGCAGGAAATATAGGGCCATGATGGAGGATCTGCGGACGCTTTGCCAACTTTCTCAGTTTGCCTACCTTTCGCTGTGTTAGTACTATCAATCCCCTTTTGTGTAATTTTTCTTGTATTCATACTAGTAGTTACCATGCTGCCAACTTTCTGTTTGTCAACTTTTAAAATTTTTCAAGTTAATAACTTCATTTTGCCAACAAATGAATTTATTGCTAAAAGGTGTCTCATATCGCCAAACTTTTCTACAATCGATAACAAACGCAGTTTCGCTTTGGTATTGTCTCTTTTAATAATTAAGACATCTGACCTCTATTTTCTGACTGAATAATTAAAAACTGATAATTTTCTCTTATGATTTTATTTTATACTAAATTCCGTATTTTTTTATATAAATTGTGATAATAATCATTCTTTTGTTACTTTGACCACTTTATTTTGTTAACGTTTGAACCAATGAGTGAAAAAATACCACCAGAAAACTGGTATTTTCAATTGAACATAGCGATTGCGTACAAGGATCCAGAAATTCGCGTATTTTAAAAAAAGACATAGTTGCACATGAAAGAATAACAACAACAACAATATTTGTTAGGAGAATAATGTGTGTAATTAGTTTAGTGTACCAATCTTATCCTTTAAACGAGCAATTCTTGTATATATATATATATATATATATATATATAGTACCCGCAGGACCGAGCTTTACTCAGTTTGTTTTTTTTTTGTAAATCGTGTATTTTGGAAATTACATTTAGATACAAGTTACTGAGTAATGAAATATGCATAATATTTTTCGATCTTACCGACTTAATAATAAGAAAATATGAACTGATGTTTTTCACAAAAGAAAGAACTTTAAAATAAAAGGGAATAAAATAACAAAAAAACAAATCGACAAAAAATTAAAAATAAAGAAAGTAATGATCTGGAATCGAAAAAAAAAGGAAAAAAATAAATGTGTAAATGATCGTGACGCGAACCACGGTCGTCTGTTTTGGGGCCGCCCGATTAGCCCGTGCGTAGATTCGGTGGCGAAAAATCAATCTAGCTAGGTTTCATTTTTAGAAAATGTCCTTTTGTCCCTGTTTTCAGGGAATGAAAAATATCATTCGAATATGACGGTAAATTTCACCGCAAAAAAAATGTTATAATAGCTCGGTCTGTAATCGGGCGGCCCCAAAACAGACGGCCCCAAAGCATACGCTTCCCGCACTTTAAATAAAGCAGAATCCAACTATTCTACAATCGAACGCGAACTTCTAGCGATCGTGTGGGCCGTGAAATACTTCCGACCCTATCTATTCGGGCGTTCAAAATCGTAACCGATCATAAACCTCTTACATGGCTGTTCTTAATTAAAGACCCAGGCAGTCGACTTGTACGATGGAGGTTAAAATTAGAGGAATACGACTACGAAATTGTATACAAAGCCGGAAAGGTAAACACGAACGCAGACGCACTATCACGTCCCCCTATCTATAATTCTAATGTTATTGACTTGACTTCAGATAACTCAAACCAAGCTAGCCCTAATGGCTATTTACAAATAAACTACGAACATTTTATTTCTCAAGAACGATCATTTAAAAGTCCTAAATTAAAAATAATCCCGATAATATCTTAGACAGAAAACACAAATATATATTTATTCTTATTTCATGCCACAACTCTGAGCAAAACCACATTTTCAATGAAGCCATACATTCTTTCTCTCAAGTAGAACCTTAACTAGAGAAAACTAAATCCTTATACGACGTTGACCTTCTAATCTCAAATGAAAACCAAAATCTATTCCTTTGCCCCACAAGACCGAACCATTTTGACCCATGGGATTCTGAAAGTTACTTCAAAGCTCTATTATCACGTTTTCAACAAAGAATATTCAAAGTCTCTATGTTCCCGATTTTAAAAATGATCCTACTTGTAAATTACTAGGTAATGGACAGTTACGAATAACTGCATATCTGGCAAATTTGTATAACTGCGAAATCACAATTTGTCAAAATAACGTAAAATATCCTAAGCCCGAAAAAATCCCTAACATATTAAAAACTTATCATGAAAGAGGGGTTCTCTCAGGTCATCGTGGTATTATAGAAACAACTAGGAAAAGCCCTGACGAATATTTTTGGAAAGGTATGACCAACGTTATAAAAAATTATATTGAATCATGCGTCACTTGCCAACGAAACAAAATTCAAAGGAAAAACTTCCAAGCACCTATGGCCATAACATCTCAATCCACAGAGCCTTTCGAACGAGTTTCCATGGATCTCGTTTCCTATTCCGATATTAGTGATAACAATAATAAGTATTTCCTAACACGTCAAGATGACTTAACTCGATTTATGCAAGCATATCCAATTCCCGATAAAGAAGCCACCACTGTAGCTAAAGAACTACTTCACTTTTGAGAACATTTCGGTGTAGCTTAGAGATTTCATTCAGATCAAGGTACCGAATTCCCTAATAATGTCCTCAAACAATTATCCAAATTCTTAGGCTCCAACCATAATTTTAACACCCAAATATAGCATATATATTTGGGTAATATAGCATATAGCATATCATCCCCAAACGAATGGTGCCCTTGAAAGATTTCATGCTGTTCTACGTGACCATATTCGCATGTATCATAGCCGCCGTTTCAAAAGTTGGGATAAAATAATTCCCTTTGCAATTATATGTACACAATACATCAGTTAACACTTCCACTAATTATACACCTCATGAATTGTTATTCGGTTACAAACCACGTCAATTTTACTCTATGAAAAACATACCCGACTATACAGCTTGTGATTATCTTAAAGATTTAAACGAACGTCTTAGAGTTGCTAGAGACTCTGCTTTAAGAAATATTCAAACCATGAAAGAAAAAGCTAAGGAAAGTACGACAAGTATACGACAGTCAAATAAAGTATTTAATTCAATATAAAGTAGGAAGCAAAGTAATGCTACAAGTTCCAAATCCAAATAATTTAGACCCAAAATGGGATGGACCTTTTGAAGTCATTCGTGTCGGTTTTAATCATAATTACGTCATTCAAAAATCAAATAGAAATCAACTCGTGCATGCAAATCGACTCCGACCATATCATGTGCATGAAACACTGGTTAAATACATAATCTTTACACCTATATTAATTATTTGGTTAACTTACAATAATTACATTTACAAGCTGTTTTACAGCAACCCATACCCTAAGTTCCTTAGAAATCCTATTGAATATATTTTATTTGAATACTCTTTATATTAGTTTCATAATAACGTCAATTTTAAAACTTATCTTATACATTATCATATACAAATTATACACATGTCATTATTTAAGAAATAAAAATCAATCTAGAAAAACCAAATGTAAGAATTCTAGACAGAATAAGGAGCTGTTAGACGGTCTGGGTTCATTGTTAAAATATCTCCTAGGTACTCCAGACGTAAAAGATGCAAACACTATGACGAACGAATCGATTTAGAGATTAGATCAGGGATCAAAATACCGGTAAAATACAGTAACGTTATCTGGGCCAGTGTGAGATAACGTTATTTTTTAGAGAAACGTTATTAAAAACGATACTGTGGAAAGCTTTGCAGGCGCATAACGTTATAATTGCGTTACGTTACATTCGTAAATTAAACGTTTCTAAAATATTGTTATAAAAATAATAACGTTATTATTTATTGTTCTATGCCATCTCTTTTACTCAAAACGGTTTACTCTTTTTTGCGTATGTTCTTGGCGCTTATATTTTGGTCGTCGGTACAGCAATTCATTTAACAGAAAATTTTGCTTAAGTTACTAGGAATATGAGAGGTAAAGGTAGTATTATTTCTTTTGCGGGCATCTTTATTCGCTATCTACTTAGTACCATCGCTCGCGTTCACTTAGCGTTTTCATCTAGGGACTTTTTTGAGATAGTACATAAAAACATAATTTAAGTGCTAATGATAAAATGGTGTGCAGGTACAAATTAGTAAATAGGCAATTTTCAAATGTTATGTTATGTTAAATGCTTTCTTTTAATATGATTTTATGCATTATAAAGTTAATAATTCTGATTCGATTTTTTGTTGCATTTAAAGTCGCATGTAGCACATTTTTAATATACAATACAAGGTACAATTAATATCATCGACCTTTTATACTAAATTAAATCTTTAATATTATATATAAAATTCTTTAATACTGAAAAAAGTTTCGACTAACTTGCGTTGTACTAAGTGCAACACGCGCCAATCCGAATTTTATACTAGTTTACTTCTAATCAATGAATCGATTACCATCAAGTACCAAAGTACTCGTCAAGACGAATCCAACGAGCCGAGACTCGATGGGGTTTCGTCGTTCCATTACAGAGTCCCTATGGCCACCTTCCAGCTCCATCATCAAACCCTGGTTACCATCAAGTACCAAAGTACTCGTCAAGACGAAGCCAACGAGCCGAGACTCGATGGGGTTGCGTCGTTCCATTACAGAGTCCCTATGGCCACCTTCCAGCTCCATCATCAAACCCTGGTTACCATCAAGTACCAAAGTACTCGTCAAGAAGAAGCCAACGAGCCGCGACTCGATGGGGTTGCGTCGTTCCATTACAGAGTTCCTATGGCCACCTT